GGCTGCATAGGTCTTGGTAGGGCTGGGATCTCTCCTATGCAGCAGAGTCTAAGGGGGGCTGGGGGCTGGTTTTGGGGGGGCGTGGGGCACTGATGTTGGTTTCTCTCTGCAGGCCCTGAGAACCCCCCCACAGCTGGTAGGTGACTTGCGGGGGGGGAGGGGTGCTTTATTGGGCAGTCCCCAGGTAGACGGGGGTGGTGGTCCCTGGAGGGGGAGGTGGCAGTGCTCTAGATGGATCCCCCTGCCCCCCACCCCAGGTTGGCTGTACTGGCGGAGGATGAGTGACTCCATGGCTGCATCTCCATTCAGTGCCCCCCCCTCCCTCCCCCCGCATGGGGGGATGAGGATGGATTCGGGGTGCTACCCTGACCCCTCCCTCGCTTCCTTCTGCAGAGCCGAGGCCACGATGGTTCAAGTGTGGGCTGCCCCAGCCCTGCCCCGAGCATCACTTGGCTTTCCGCCTCGTCAGTGGTGCTGCCAACGTTGTGGGGCCCAAGATCTGCCTTGAGGACCAGATGTGAGTGTGGGAGGGTGCTGGAGATGAATGGGGAAACAGCAGGAGAGAACTCGGGTGTCCTGGTTCCCAGCTCCCTCTGCTCTTACTCCCAGGAAGGGTCTCTGGAGCTGCTGGGGGGGAGTGGGGGGGTGTATCTCCAATATGGGAGAGGCAGGGGGACCATGGGGGGCAGGTGTAGGGGATGGGGGCGCCTCTCACCTACCAGTGCCTCTGGCCCCCGCCCGGTCCCTGAGACCTGTCTGGTTGTAGCCAGCTCCTGGCTGCTCTCACCCCCAGCCCCCACTCCCCTCCCAGAGACCCCAGGCGTCTGGGTCCCCAGCCCTGGAATTGGTGGGGAGAAGTTGTGAACTTTGCTCTGCTCTCACCAGCCCCCCTTACACCCAGATCTCTTTCCAGGCTCATGAGCAGCGTCAAGAACAATGTCGGCCGTGGCCTGAACATCGCCCTGGTCAATGGTGAAGCTGAGGGGGTGGTCTGGTCCCTGGAAGGGGCATTGGGGGAGCTGGGCAGAGGCAGGGTCCAGTCAGGGTGGGGCATATTGCTGGTCACTGGGGAGAGGGGGTGGGGAGGAGTGGCAGGGGGCTAGGATTCATGGATTCTATCCTCCACTCTGGTGGGAAGGAGAGTGGAGTGAGCGGGGGCTGCAGGGATGGAAGTCTGTACACCTGGGTTCTTGGGATGGGGGTGGGGGTTGGGAGTCAGGAGGCTTGGGTTCTCTCCCCAGCTCTGGGGAATGGGGTCAGTTGGTCACCTGGGAGCTCAGACACCTGGGCTGTCTGGATGGGGAGAGGGGGCTGGGGTGGGGAGGAGCAGAGGGGGCTGGGAGACCGGATGCCTGGGTTCTCTGGGAGGAGGGTGGGAGCAGTGGGGGCTGGGAGCTTGGAAGTCTCTGGGTTCTCTCCAGGTTGGGAGCTGATGTGGGGCTCTGATGCTGCCTCCTTTCTGTCTAGGTGTGAATGGGGAGCTGATTGATGCCAAGGCCTTTGATATGTGGGCTGGAGGTGAGCGGGTCCTGGTGGGATTGCAGGGCATGGGGGGAGGAGGCCCGGCCATGTGCTAACTTCCCCCTCCCCCCGGTCTCCCCACAGACGTCAACGAACTGCTGAAGTTTCTGCGCCCCCTGCACGAAGGGACCCTGGTGTTCGTGGCTTCGTTTGATGACCCAGCCACTAAGTGAGCATACAACTCATGAGGGTATCCCCCACCCCTTCCAAACCAGCCCAATCCTCTCTCCTTTGGACCTGGCTACATTTTGGGGCAGAGGATGGCGAAGTCTTCCTTTCTGGGGGTGGGGGACTAGGCTGTCTGGGACATGTCTGCACACACAGAGAACCCAGGTATCCATTGAACACCCCTCTTCTCCCTTCTACCCC